CGCTGGTATAGGACCCCTGCTGACCTTCACAAAATCATGCCGGAACTGACTCCTGAGTGCTGGCGATGCGGCCAGTCTGGAGGTACCATGCTCCATGTTTTTTGGACATGCCCAGGAATCCAAGGTTTTTGAGAGGGGGTCAAATCGCTGTTACCCACATTTACTGACCGAGATATCCCAATGATATCACAATGAGATACCCAAACGGGCGTACCTGAGATCGGTACTACCACACTTAATGCGGCGAAAGCCTGTATTCCGATACTCTGGCGGAACACCAGACCCCCTACTCACCGTAGGGGTGTATGTGGTTGGGGAAGGTCAACAAGATCTGGAGAAAGGAGGATCTGATTGCGTCGTCCAGGGAGACACATGACACTTTCTGCAAGGTATGGTCCACTTAGACGGAGTTCTTCTTCTCCCCGGAATATCAAGTGCACATTGAGCAGGACCCACCAACTGACCCTCAGATGCCTTGAGCTTTTGGAAATGGCGACTCAGGGAGAGAAGCACATAACACCTACTTATGCAAGGGTTCGAAGCCTATTATGCCCTATTACTGTTGTTAATGTTATATATGTTGCCTAAATGGAAAAGTTACGAAAAGTTACGAAATCCATGCATATGGGATCAAACCTGTTATTAGCACTGCAAAAGGAGAGCCTTGATTTATATTGTTAACAGATTGTGTGCAATGTTTCTGTATGGATGCTCGTGCCTTACAAAATAAAGAATTATATAAAAAAAAACAGCACCAGACAGGGCAGAATTGCCGGGGCTTCAGGATTCAGTCGGTCCACAGGTGGAAGGTGAGTTCTAGGAATAAGGGGAACCCTCTGTAATAACAGCAAGGCCGCAGGGAGTGATGCCATTAGCAGAGCTCACAGAGAGGAACCCGTGGCCTATGCAAACCGGTCAGAAAAACAATAAACATGACGATCCTGACGGTAGGAAACTCCATCGAAAACTGAGGGAAGAGGGTTTGGAAGGGACTTTTAAAATCTGTTCAATTGTGTTTTCTGTATAGGAGGAGTTAATCATCTCTCAGGTTGCCGTCCTGCAAGATGATTGGAGAAATTTTCTTTATGATCCCAGACGAGATCGTCATGGAAGGCATACTAGAGCCTTCCTAAACGGCAATTCTGCAGACCTGCACTTAAACCATAAGGCCCTACACATCTCAGGGGTGTGGAATTCCTATCGCCGGGCGAGTAGTTTTTTCGTACATTTAGCCCTGCTCCGGACAAGTACATTTAGCTTTTTTACATTTAGCCCTTAGTCCGGACAAGCAGAACTAAATGTAGTGGGGAGCCACTACACCCGCTCTTCGTCTGCTCTGTGTGATCACTTAGACCGTGGCGCTGTAATCACAGCGCCACCTTTCTCAGCTGTCAGGTACTGCACAGAACATCTCTTCTGTATTGGAGGGCAGGTTCCATAAAAAGAAACTGTCACCTCCAAACTTTCACATAAGGGATTTTAAGCCCCTATGTGATAGGAATAAAATGAAGTGGGGGGAAAAAAAAGTAAAAAATAAAACAAACTTTTTAAAAATAAAAGTGATAAAGTAAAAAATAACATAAAAGAAAAATTAAAACCAACCCCACTGCCCCCGCCATCTGCAAGCAAATAAACGCACGCGTAGGACATTATGTGTGTGCGTTGAGTGCTGCCGCCATTCCACTGTGTGCCATATTGTGGTAGCCAGGCAGAACTCTCTTACACGCACAATGTGCATTAAAGGGTAAGTTCACTTTCCCAGGTAATATGGGAAAATGGAATTACCCGATCAAATTTGGCCCGGTCTCTCCCAAGTACATGTGTACTATCTGTACGATGTACTGCTGACCAGCGCAGTCCTGCCCTATGTATTTAGAATTTTGCTCGCAAATTGCAAACACTCATTGGTCAGGTGACCATGAGAAGCGCTATTTAGCACAATCAAATACAGTTTTGATTCGGGATGCACCGATAGAGTATTTGGGCGAGTACTTGTACTCGCCCAAATGCTCCGATACCTTCCCTGGTACCGGAACTTCCGGTCAGAGGAAGATTTTGTCTGACCGCCAGTGCCGTAGGGGAACATGGAGCCAGCTTCCCGTGCCGGCATCCGTCTCTTGAGAGTGTCCGCGTCGCAGGGGTGGGAACCAGCGGGAATTTTAAAAGTTAAAAAAATAATAGAACAAAAAAGGAAATAATCAGACCGCCAGGGAGGTTAAAACTCTCCACTTTTGGTCTCCAACTTTACAGTCCTAAAGCTGCCTGACTTTGCACTCTGCATGTGAGTTCTTAGGTTGTTAGTCGCTTTCTTTGTGTTTAATTCCCTTTATTTGGCTTCAGTTCAGCTCCTATGCTTGACACCTGGTCATTGTGGGCCAGTGTGATTGAGTTGCTAGCATTTGGGCGAGTACAAGTACTCGCCCAAATGCTCCGATACCTTCCCTGGTACCGGAACTTCCGGTCAGAGGAAGATTTCCCAGCCAATCACAATCAAGCCAGACAAACAACATAGAGTCAACTTCCCTGGCAATCAGGAAGCCGGGTAGCATGGCATTACCCGCTGCTCAGCTTCCTGGTTCCCCGGAAAGCCTGCTCCATGCCAACGGAAGCACCGATACTCTGTATCGGCGACTACCGAAAGCAAAATATCGGTACTCGATTCCCAAAAACTGGTATTGGCGCATCCCTGGTTTTGATTAAAACTATTTTTTTTGTATTGGGACAAGTAGATTGTCATGAGGGAGAAGTAGATTCGGCCCCCGCCTTTGGACAAGTAGTTTTTTTTTACATTCCACACCCCTGCATCTGAGCTGATACCAGGTTTATCCGTGACACAGACTAGAATCCAAGTTTACATCACATATGAAGCACTGGATCCACACCTGCAGCTTCCAAACTCCAATAGATCTGGCCCACTCAGCGACGGTCTGGGAGATCAAAGCCAAGTCCAAAACCAACACCAACTAACTTACCAATGTGTCCATGGTACAGGAGAGGGAGCTTTTTGTCTGTAGGGTCTTTAACCCCTTCGTGACAGGAGACGTACACTCTACGTCCCGCCACAAAGTGCCCAAATGACTGCTCATGTACCCTGTACGCGATCAGCTATTTGGGGCTCTGTAATGGCGGTAACCGCTGAGAATCAGCAGTTACCATCCATCAATGAAAGAGTTGAGCTTTTTCAGACACCCCATCCCTTTCTGGAATTGGGTGTGCCTGACAGTGAGAGCAGAGCCGCATTTGCAGCTCTAGCTGTCACTGACAGATGGTATAGATCGGGAAATCCGGTTTTCTAAACTTTCAGCAATAGAAACATTTGGATACATGTTTGCACCGCTGAAACAATGTTGCAGGTTTTCTGATCGTTGTTGGAACGATCAGAAAACCTTTCATGACACCTGATCCTGAAATGCTGCAGGATCAGTGTCACTAAGATTATTATTGGCTATTCTTACATTTGAAGCAGCCTAATATTAACTATAAATTAATTAAATTATCACGCAGTAATAGTGAGTTTAATGCACAATGACTGCTTGATATAATTAAATAAAAATGTTGAAAACAAATAGTGAAAAGTGTAAAAAAAATAAAAAAAAAGTGTAAAATAAATAAATGTAACAAATAAAAATGATATATTTAAATATATTTTTATACTATCAATATAAAAATTAACCCATTACAGTGAAAATCTGCAGCTGAGCTACAGATTTGTTTCTCAAACTCAATTCCCTCAGGGGCCACTCGACAATTTTTTTTCTCCCATGGGCGGGGCGCTTGCCAAATCTCATATGTTAAAAATAAAATTGAAATATATCCGGTTTGGTACTAACACACACACACACAATACGGCCCCATTCATATCTGTAGGTTTAGGTGTGATTAGGGATTCCTGTGTCAGAAACATGCCTTTTCCTGCAGCAGGAATGCCTAATCTGGTGTTTACAAGCGGCCGCTGTCACCCATTCAAGTTAATGATCAGGTGACAGCAGTTGCACGTACACTCCTGCACACCACATGTAATATGTGATATTACTACATGCAGTTAGAAAACACTCTCCCTGAATGCGCAATCATTGCGTCCAGGGAGATTGATTTCTAACCGAATGTAATCATATCACACATCATTACATGCGGTGTGCAGACGTTTACATGCAACTTCTGTAACCTGATCGGTCATATGTGACAGCTGCCGCTTTTAAACGCCAGGTTAGGGATTCCTGCTGTAGGAAACGCATGTTCCTGATGCAGGAATCCCTAATTGCACCTAAAGATACAGGTGTGAATGGAGCCTAGTACACTTCCACTCCCTCCACATACACATAAAAAAAATACAAGCCCTGTACATATAAAATAATGCCCCCCCATAAAAAAAATTACTATTGGACAGGTTAATAACACCTCCTAGCTCCAATTATGCAAATGCAATCAACACCTGGTTGCGATTGGAGCAACATTCACCATATTTATTCCTAGAGATTTTTTGTACAAGTCATTCTGAATTGAGAAACGCCTTCAAGAAAAATACAGTCCAGTTGCCTTGACTTATTTTTTAGATATACCATGACCTGGATGAAGAAGAACCTTCACAGACAGTCATGTGATAGGGTGGTTCTATACCTACCCTAAACCTCCCTGTATGCTACTTTTATTAGCCACCTGCTACACTTTTTAAATACAGACATCACTTAAATGAGAAAGTGGAATACAGGGTAGAACTGTTTTCTGCCCTTTACACAAATATAGGAGAATAATGGCATACTAAGAGGGAAGTGTGGAAAGCCTACGATTTCTTAAATGTATAGCTGGTAGAGTTTAAACCAAGTGTTCATAACAAATCCAGGACTTGTTGCTATGCCTGCAAAGCAGCCGGATAACCTCCCTGAAAAGCCACAGGACACATAGGTTTTGTGGATGGATGCATTATTTTTGACTTGCAATGTTGCATTACATGAAAAAAAAAAACAAGGGAAAAAAAGCACTCGAGTAAACCAACAACTTACCTTAAGATCCCAAATCTTAATTTGAGAATCCATTGTTCCAGTGCCAAAAATAAGCCCATCAGGATGAAACTGAGCACAGGTTAGAGCTGCAAAGAAATAGTTACTCCCAGGAATGCTGCACCTTTCCCATTAAGATGCAGCCCGTCTCGGCTGAAGAGCCGATAGCCGACTGCGAAGTCAGCCCAGTTCTCCAGGAAACCAAAACCTTCCTTCTGACACCAGCCACTTGTGTTAAGCTCCCTAGTTGAAATAAATACACAAGTAGTTCGAAGTCTGGAAAAAAAACTTCGTAATGAAAAATGCTTACCACAGGCTGATGTTTCATCTGTCACTTTGGTAAGGACACGCCCTGCATGGATATCTGAGAAAGCCCAATACTAGAAAAAAATGCAACATTTAAATAAGTCCAGAATAAACCCTAAAGTATAAAGGACAACATACAAAAAAAAAACAAATTTTAAATCACTCTACTACTATTTCTTTAGTCAACTTCATACAGAGATGAGGAGCTGGTGAGACAATTGTTTTCCTCTGCTGTCAAAGCAGTGGTTGGGAACTCGGGGGCATGCAGGTTGATTTTCAGTAATGAAGAATCAGTTTTGCATTAAAGAGGAACCTCACCCTTTATCTTTAAAAGGGCAACAAAGGCACCTTTAGAAACGTTTAGTAATGGCAATCTACAAATGGATACTTGGACAATTGCAGGCTTTTTATTCTTTGCATACCTACTTTTATTTTCCTTCCCATTCTTCTCACAGCAACTATTTTCACTAAGGGCAGATTAATCCATCTCCCTTTACCTCCTAGTACTCTGGCACATGTGACTGGGATATGTAGAATATGAATATGGAGACAGGAGATGAGATTTTCCCAGCCTGGACTACTTCACTAATGCCAAAAAGCACCAGGCATTAAAAGAGTAATTGTATGTAAAAACATAATATGTTTGTTTAACTAATGAATGTAAGATGTTTGGCATGCAGAGCTGATGCGAGTTTTAGCAAAATGGGGTAAACGTCCACCATAAGCTGGTTTATAAGAAAAAACTTTGTTCCTTTACATTTTTGCCAAAAATGTACCAGTACCAAATTGCGCTTACCTGGTCATCTGAGCAACTCAGCAAATAATCCCCAGTTGCATGAAGACTTAGTCCAGTCACTGCTCCGTCATGTGCTCTCAAAACCTGAATGCAGGAGGCCTCTGGCACTGACCAAACGCGTATTGTAGAATCAGGAGAGGCAGAAAATACAAGATCCTAAAAATAAATAAATATATATTTAGCCAGAAATAGCAGCTCAGTAAATGTGATTAAAGACAGTACATATGCTCAAACTATCTCCCAATAACACACAGAATCGGGTGTCATCAACAAGCTTTGCCTAAATCAGTTGCGTTGCTAGTAACTACTACTGGTTCTTATGTGCCTTTCCTTGGTGCTTCACTAATCTTGCCTTCTCAACACCCAATGAATGACCTGACCCTCTAATGGTCAGCCGAGCTGACCATTAGTGGGTCAGGTCATTCACATATTTACACTAGGATGCACAGATACCGATTATCAGTTAGTCAGGTGGTGGATCATGACCCGTCGGCCAGCATCCTGATTGCCTGTAAAGCCGGTGTTCTAGCGAAAGAACACCGGCTTCACTTGCCCAGGCTGCCTGACCAATCAGGAAGCCGGGCGGCGAGTCAGGAGGTGCCGTCCGGCTTTCTGATTGGTCAGGAAGCCAGGCTGCCTAGCAACAAGTGAAGCCAGCTTCCGACCCGCCTCCCGGCTTCCTAATTGTGCTAGGAAGCCAGCTTCACTTGTCGGTAGGCAGCCTGGCTTCCTAACCAATCAAAAAGCCGGGGGCGGCACATAATGACCGGGCTTTCTGATTGTTTAGGAAGCCAGGCTGCCTACCAACAAGTTAAGCTGGCTTCCTGACCAATCAGGAGCCAAGACAGCACCTCATGACTCGCCGCCCAGCTTCCCGAATGGTCAGGAAGCCAGGTAGCCTGGGCAAGTGAAGCCGGTGATCTTTCACTAGAACACCGGCTTCACAGGCAATCAGGAAACTGGCTGACGTGTCATGATCTGCCGCCTGACTTTCTGATAAGCCAGGTCACTTGTTGCTAGGAAGCCAAGCTACCTAGCAACAAGTGAACCCAGCTTCTTAGACAATCAAGAAGCCGGAAGGCAGGTTATAACCCACCACCCGACATCCTGATTGGAAAGGAAGCCGGCTCCATGCTCCCTGGGCACTGTCGGTCAGAGGGAGATCTCCCTTTGACTGGAACTTCCGGTATCGGAGCCTTTGGGTGAGTACTCATACTCGTTACTAGTATCGGTATCGTTGCATCCCTAATTCACACGTACCATAAACATTTGCTATTAAACGTCAGGCAATCCCCTATTACTACTTATGTAGCAATACAACAAGCTTCAGGGTTACCATTGTCTATTTCTTGGATTGCTCTGTTGGCAGTGATAGTAAAGAGAAAATTTCAAGCTCACTGAACTAGATGCATTCTGCTACAACATCATCTTATATGTGGTGCTCTGTGTGTGATTTAGTACATTTCCAAAGAGGAGCATTGTGGATCACATAACATACGTGCTGGAGCAGTGTCTAGTAAAGAATGCAATCCCAAAGGAGTAACTGTAGCAAGACAATCAATAGGAGGGCTCTTGACACCCAAAATCCTGCAAAAGCTGAGAGACAAGAAACTTGTGTTCAACAATATGGATGCCATGGGAAGACAATAGGGTAGATACTAGAGCAAATACCCTGAAAACATTAGGTGTGTAGAGGCTGAGAATGGTGAGACAGTGCCCAGGAAGTACAATGAAGGTCATGGGGTCCCTCTATGGGGGGACAGGGGCGGTGCATCTGATGGAAACCAAGCACAACTGATGGCCTTACATGTACCAAGGGAGCAAATCAATTGATTTGGGGGAGAGGACAATGGCCAGAATGGGACAGAGCTCCAGAGGCCAAATTGGCACAGGGGCTAGAATAAGATACTCTGGGTTCAGGAGACCCCAAGTGAGGAGAGTTAGGTCTGCTAATCAGTGCACCAGAGAAAGGGAATTTGTTTGTACACCTGAAAGGCAAACTACCCAAGAACCCACGAGGATTAACAAAGATTCCCCCACTTGGAATAGCACCTTCATGTTTAAGGCTTCTATAGGGGTTCAGCAAGTTTTTTACATCCAAACCTGCAGGTGGCCAGAGAACATGGCTTAGAGGGCCTAGTCAAGCCTACAACAGTAGTAGATGAAAGAAAAGGTATCGGACTTAGCAGACCTTTCCAAGACTTTCTTGTGCTGAGGCAGGTAAATGCTTCATTGATGTTGTCAACAGTAGCTCAGAAGAGACGCTGTCCCTTAAAGTTCAAATCAGGCACTCCTTGGATAAAGCATGTGCCTCCCAGCACCTGATCAACAATTCTCTATGCATTTGTATGGACAACATATTCATACAAGACACAAGGCTAGATGCTTCCAGCAAGCCACCACAGCTGATGTGTAGGGCTCCAGACATCTGCTCCACATGCTCCATCAGGAACGTGTCCATTGCCGCAGTTGGAAGACATCTTTTGACACAGGTTAAAGATTAAGGTCATAGCTGGAATAGGGCAAAGAGCAGTGTTTGCTAGCAATAGCTGGGTTTTAAGAGCAGTAATAGCTAGCAATAGCTGGGTTTGGGTCAGATTCTAGCTGTTTGTCATAGAATCTTTAGGCAAGAACTCCCTCTACTGGCCTAATGGTTTTCCTGTTAAGGCGAGTCACTGACACATCCACTGTGGGTAAAGACCATTGTTTTAAAAATTAATTTCCAATGGGAAACAGATGAACCTAACAAGCATTTAGAACAGTGGTCTCAAACTCAATTCACTCGGGAGCCACCCAACAAATTTACTTCTCCCATGGGGGCTGCTTGCCAAATATACATCAAAATGAAAGTTAACTATTTCCGGTATGGTACTATGGACACCAATAGACCCACAATAAGGTCCTATTCATATCTGTAGGTTTAGGTGCAATTAGGGATTCATGCATCAGGAACTTGCATTTTCCTGCAGCAGGAATCTGGCGTTTACAAGCGGCAACTGTCACCCATTCAAGTTAATGATCAGGTGACAGCAGCTCCATGTAAACGCCTACCCACCACATGTAATGATATGATTACATACGGTTAGAAAACACTCTTCCTGGATGCACAATCAATGCGTCCAGGTAGAGTGATTGATTTCTAACCAAATGTAATGATATCACAAACTATTACAAGGTGTGCAGGTGTTTAAATGTAGCGGCTATCACCTGATCATTAACATGAATGGGTGACAGCGGCCGCTTGTAAACGCCAGATCAAGGATTCCTGCTGCAGGAAACCGCAAGTTCCTGACAGAGGAATCCCTAATTGCACCTAGAGTTACAGGTGTGAATGGAGTCTAATACACGCTCTCCCCTCCTTATACACAAAGAACTACTACCCACAAACGCTAGAAGTTTGGCAAACAAAATGGATGAGCTAGAACTTCTACAAATTGAAGAAAATGACAACCTTGTGGGAATAATGGAAACTTGGTTTGGCAAACACAAGACTGGACAGTGAATACGGAAGGGTATAACTTATTTCAGAGGGATTGATAAAATAGAGGTGGGAGGGGTATGCATGGAGATTCTTCTTGACATACTATTAAATGTGCGTGACAACATCAATAATGCATCTGAGGAGGGGGCAGAGGCTTTATTGCTAGAGATAAAAACTAGCGATGATCATGGTACATTATTAATAGACATATGTCACAGGCCGCCGACCATAAGGGAAGTTGATTTTTAGCTAATCTCACAGATCGAGATGCTAATGTTATAATTATGGGGTGGAAGAATAGGTCACCAGCACTCCAAGTATTTAAAATGAATAAGTCCTTTTTATTGCACAATAGTGTCACAAAGATCAAAAAGAGCCGACGTTTCGGGGCCGCGCAGGGTCCCCTAAGGGTCACATCTCTTGCCTTGAGGAAGGGACCCTGCGCGGCCCCGAAACGTCGGCTCTTTTTGATCTTTGTGACACTATTGTGGTACCATCTTTGTTTATTGGCCGGGACTGCTGAAAGGTGTGCGGAGAGTATCCTCACCAATTGCAAAATAATTATGGGGTGGGCTTGCGATGATCGCAAGTACGATCTGCCTGTCCAAGATGGGCAGATCATACGTTTTTTTAATTACTTTACAACCCTCGCAAGACCAAAGTCTTGCGAGGGTTGTAAAGTGTATGGCCACCTATAGACTTACTAATTTCTAATACATAACTAATCACAGATGTGGATGTAAGGGACAACTTGGGCAGCACCGACCACAGGTTAATAACATTTGCAGTCCTTGTAGGGAAAAACAAAAGTGGGAACAGCAACACTTATCTTTAAAAAGCCCAACTTAATCAAACTGAGATCCTTATTAAAATATCGCCTGGGATGAATCTTCAAGACAATGAACACAGTAGACAAATGGGAGAGATTTAAGGCCATACTAAACAGCAACATTCGAGAGTGCATCCCAATAACTAATACATTTAAAAGGGTAAAAGCAAAACCTGGCTGGTTAGATTCTAGAGTTAAAAGACCAATAAATGAGAAAAAAAATGTCCTTTTAAAAATATTAGGGGGAAGGGTCACAGCTGGCATTCAGGCACTATAAGCAATGTAACAAAAAATGCAAATGGAAATTAGAACAGCAAAAATATGCTATGAGGAACAGATAGCTGTAAAAAGTAAAAGTAATCTTAAAAAATGATATAAATACAGAAATAGCAAAAAAGGAAACACAGAGCACATATTAGGTTATTAGGTTTAATTGTTTCAGATCATCAAACAAATTTAAATATTTGTCAAAGATAACACAAGTAAACACAACATGCCGTTTTTTAAAAGGAAGTAAGGGGTTAAGGAAAAACAAAATCCAAACCCATATGGCCCTGTGTGAAAAAGTGTTTGCCGCACCCCCCCTCCTCTTAAAACATAACTTAACTCTGGTTTATCACACCTGAGTTCAATTTCTCTAGCCACACCCAGGCTTGATTATTGCCACACCTGTTCGCAATCAAGAAATTACTTAAATGAGACTTGGCTGACAAAGTGAAGAAGACCAAAAGATCCTCAAAAGCTACACATCATGCCGAGATCCAAAGAAATCCAGGAACAAATGAGAAAGAAAGTAATTGAGATCTATCAGTCTGGAAAAGGTTATAAAGCCATTTCTAAAGCTTT